GGTCTCACTGCCCAGGCGGGTCTCGAACCTGCAGGCTCAGGCAATCTACTCACCTCAGCCTCCCAGGCGAGGGATTACAGGCTGAGCCACCGAGCCTGGCTACACAACTCAAATTCTTAAGGGTCTTCTGTGGTTGACAGGGGTAGTGCCTGCTTCTGTCCAAAAGCCCAGTGTTGGGGGAACCCCTGAGGGACCCAGGCATGGCCACAGCCTTACCCAGGGGACAGGACAGTCGTGCACTCAGCAGCCCCTCAAACAGCTGGGCTGGGGAGGGTGTGGGGCCCTGAGTCCAGTGAACCCAGGAACTGGGACGGGCAGGGGCTGCACCTGTGAGTGTTTGTCCCATGTCTCCAGGCTGCTTTGCAGGAGTCCGGGGGCAGCTGGAAGCTCATGTGAGCTCCCCAGTGTCACTGCGGCTCCTGAATGCACCTCAGGGTGACTGACCCTGGCGTGGCTGGACCCGCATAACTGACCCCAGCGCAGCTGACCCGAGCTCGGCTGCTGGCTGGTCCACCAGGCCCATGGGAGGGCATGAGCAGGCAGGCTGGTGCCAGCCGCTGTCCACTGGCTTCCTAAGGTGGGTGGCTGGAGTCAGCGGTGCCTCCAGGGTCTGGGTGGGGCCTGTTGCAGTCACACAGTGGGAGAGACACACCAGGATCTGAGGCTCTGCCCCACTCCCAGGTGCTGCCCTGCTAGTCTCCCAGGACCCAAACCACAGTGCAACCCTCACATGGGCCCCAGGCCCTGGCACGCCCCCTCTCTCTCCCATCCCAGGGGCTTGGTCCTGCCGGTTCTGTTCCCCCAGAAGTCCCAGTGGCTAGGGATGGGGCCAGCACAAAGTAGGGGCACAGAGGGACACACAGCCTGGCCCAGGAAGGAGCATGGGGGAGTGCCTGCCTAAGCTCCAAGACCCACCCATGCCGGGACCACCTGGGCCCAGAAGTTGTCAGCATTTCTGGGTGGGCTCATCAGAGCTCCTGAGAGACCACGGCCCCAAATCATGGCCTGCAGAGGTCCTCACGGTGGACGAGGGTGCAGCCCCGCCCTGACCCTGCCAGCCCTCACCAACACAGCCAGCCTTAGCTGGGGGTCTGGGGTTAAGAGCCAAGCTGGCTCCGGGCACTGAGGCCAGGGCGTGACGTGTCTGTGGTCACCATGATCAGAGGCTAAGATAAAAAGCTGAGGCTGGGAGTGACACGGCTGGGGTTGTGGGGTTGTGGGGGTGGCAGTGGCTCCCCCAGGAACAGACCCCAGCACAGAAGCTGGGCTCCTCCCATACTTATGAGAGGAGGGGAGGGGAGAGAGGAGGGAAAAGGTGCAATGATGCTCCATGCTCCCCTCCCTAGGGCCGTCACCACCCCCACCCCCATGAGTCCCTAGGCTGCTGGGTGGAGAGAGTGAGGTCTCAGGCTGGGGGCGGAGGTGTCTAACAGGTGCTTGGGAGGCTGGGGCAGACACGGGGGCACCACCATGGAGTGCTGAGTCCTTCCTTGGCCAGCCTTTCCAGACAAAGCACGTCCTTCATCTCAACATCCAGGTCTGTGCAGCCTGGGTCCTCAGGATTCTTCCTGGGAACAGCAGGCGGGCTGAGGTCTGGGGGTTCCAGGGGACGGCCCAGCCAGCACAGGGTCCTGCACCTACCCAGGAGAGTGCTGGCCACTCCCAGGAGGGGGCTTCCGAGCCCTAGCTCTCAACAGCTCCCACCCCCGGTGTGTGCAGAGGACGGGAGGCAGGTGGGCTGGGGAGCAGTGACCCCTGGATGGACTTGGAGGGGCCGCCTCAGCCTGGCTCCCTCCGTAAGATGGGAGCCCACTGCAGGGGGTGGGCCACGGAAATGGAGCACTCAGAGCAGGGGTCGGAAGGGGCCAGGCAGGTTGGGCCCCTCCCGTGGGGCTGGACTTCGAGGGCTCTGATGGCCCCAGCTGCCCGCTCTCCAGGGCCCCACACTGAGGTCTCACCCTGGCTCCCACCCAGCCCTGCTCTGCCTTTCAGCTGAGATTGCAGGGCATGGGGGTGGGGGCCGGAGATGTGGGGCTGGTGACTTCAGAGAAGCATTGGTGAGAGGAGTGTCTCCGTGGGCAGGGCCAGAAGGGAAAGCTAGGCAGCCAGGGGACATGGGAGGCCTGATCCTCCACCACTGCCCTTGCGCCTGAGTGGACGTCCCAGATCTAGGCAGCCAGTCCACCTGGTCAGCCCCACTTGCTTTGAGACAGGGCTTTGGGCTCCATGCCGTTCTTGTTCCATCCTGTTCCCAAGGCTGGCACAAGCCTGGCCAGTAGGATCCCAGCCCCTCCTCCACGCCCCCCGTCATGGGCAGCCAGGGGCCTCTGGGACTGAAGTGGTAGGGGAGGCTGGGTGGCCTCCAAGCTCCTGGTTCCCAGGTGCCCCACCCGGGAGCTCCCCGTGCTGACAGATGGCAGCCCCAGCCGCCGAGTTGCCAAGGTGTGGGCACAAGCCACTTCCAGGTCGGGTGTGTCCTGCCAAGAGGAAACCTGCCTGCCCTGTGTGGGGCCCATGTCACAGTCACAGGGGCACAGGGCTATGTCCGGTGCTGGCTGGGTTGGGAGCTCTGTGCCAGGCCTGAAACGTGCCCCTGCCCCCCTCCGTCCTTGGCCCTAGGAGCCTGAGGCTGCTGCCTCCCCACGCAGCTGGGAGAGCGAGACCCACCGAAGCAGGGCTGCAGCGGCATGGCCAAGACCCAGGACAGACGCTGAAGGCCCGGAGCTGGGGCAGCCCCTGTGGCTAGGCCAGGAGTAGGGGATCGCAGCCTCCGTGAACCCCACATGCTGGGGGAGAAGAGGCTGCCCTCTGGGTAGAAGTATCTACTCTCCTCTTACTCCCCATCCAGCTGCCATCAAGCCTGGGCGCTCTCTCTCCCACACTTGGCCAGCTGCTTCTGTGGGACGCCCACGCCATTGGACCTGTGCCGGGTGTGGTCAAGGCAAAGCCTGGGAGACCGGGTCCCCATGAGGTCAATGGAGGCCACAGAGCCCTGGCACAGTCCCTTGCCCAGATCAGAGGCTGCAGTGGGCGTGGGTGGCCAGCTGGGCAACCACAGCCAACTTCCGGCTCTTGGGACATCTGCATTCTGCCCCAGACCCTCCCCAGAAGACGTGGCCGACTGGAGGGCATGCCTGGGAGCCATCCTGGGGAGGTCACATGGACACAGCCAGCCACACAGGTCCCCACTTGGGTAGACATAGGCACCCTGGGGAGTGGACTCGTTGACACCCATCCACTCCTCTGTCCCCATGCCAAGCCAGACCAAGGCACGTCAGGGGCCCACTTCCCCAAAGTGGGTACCCAAGCTCATATGAAACCCTGCCCTTAACAAGAGCCCTGAGAGAAACTTCTGGAAGTCCTAGAGACCTCCAGGGCCACTGCTTCTGGGGTCTCCCAGCCCTGGCACCCAGCCCTAAAGGAGCTGCTAGGTAGCAGAGCTCTCCTGCCCAGTGCTATCTGTGGTTTCCCAACACCACAGAGAAGGGGTCGTCACCCAGCCGGGAGCCTGAGGCCAGGGCACGCCCTGGACAGACACCGGTGAGGGTGCTGGTCGGCCCCAAGGGCCCTTCACTGAGGAAGCCAGACGCCCACTCCACAGAGTGGACAGGGCTGTGGCCTCAGGCAGGCTTGGGGACACTGGCCTGCAGTGCTATCCTGGCTGAATAATGGGGGAGGGTTTCCTCTCACTTGCCCGGCACCAGGCCTGAGTGGGGGTCTGGGGCTGACTCAAGCCTGGACCTCTACCCATCTCCCAAGCAAGGAAGGGCCAGGTTCGAGAAACCACCTGGTGGGGTCTGGTGGGGTTTGCCTGGGGAGGGAGCAAGAAGCCCCCAAGACCCCCAGGCTGGAATCTGGGGCTGCCTGGTTCTTGGACGACCAGGCATGTCAGGAATGGCCCCAGCTGTCGGCCTGGCCTCCTGAACCAGCATCCCCCCTGATTCCCCTTTCCAGCTGTTGCGGCTCAGAGGGGACAGTGAGGAGCCTGGCAGAGGGCAGCTGTTCCTTCCATCAACACTGCCCCGCCCCCGCCGACGGGCAGCCTGAACCACAGTGTGGGGGGGCGCCGTCCCGCCCACTGAGGAAGGACAATGGTCTCGGTCCCTGTCACCCACTGAAGATCCCTGCCCGGCCCCACATGGAGGAGGGAGTCTTGGCCCAGCACTGACCCAGTGGCTCTTGCAAAGCCCCAGGGGTGCTGCTGAACCCCCTCTTTCTTCCAGGGGCCACGCGGCTCCCCAAGGACCTGATGCAGGAGAGCGGCCTTCCCATTTGCTGGGGTGAAGGGGGTCCCAGGGGCAGGACCAATGACTTAGGTGGTGTGGGGGAGAGGCTGGTGGGTCAGTTCTGAAGACACAGTTCCCCTCCCCATGTTGCTCCGGGGCCCAGTGGGCTAAGGATTTAGACAGGACCGAGCAGAGCAGGCAGGTGGCCTCATCCCAGGCCGCAGGACAAGCGACCGGTCAGTGCAGAGCCCCTGCCCCAGCACCCACCCAGACACTACTGGGTCAGGCTTGCCTGCTGGAGGCTCATGGTGGTTAGACACCACTGGACCAGGCTGGACAGGAGTCTGAAAGTTGACCTGGCCAGAGGGAAGGCAGGGTCCTGACACAGGTGTTTCAGCACAGACACTCCTCACCCAAGCTGATCCAAGGGCAGGAGATTCAGAACCCTGCCCCACAGGGTCACCTCCCCCAACCTCCCCAGCGGTCTGCTAAAACCCTGGGGGAGGGAAGAGGGGTAGAGAGAAAGGGGTGTGGGGGGGGAGAGGGGGGGAAGAGG